AAGGAGTATGTAACACTTGCATACATGGAAAGACATTCCTTTTTCTTGGATAGAGGACCTATTTTATAACAATGGCATTTCAAATCAAAGAAGAATAGATTAATTTAATAAATATTTCTGATAGTATAAAGAGCTAATTTATTATTTAGAGAACTCAAATGAGTAAGAAAAGGCAACAAATATGAATAGAGAATTTATAGAAAAAATAAAATAGGGTCAAAACATAAAAAGATGCCTCATTTCATTCAAAATTTTAAAATTATAGTTTTTCACTTGCCACATTACATTTTATTAATTTTTGCTTATGATATCAAAAGTGGAAATAGGAACTCCCAGTTATTGGTAAGGTTGAAAATATAACATTTTGGAGGATAAGTAGGTAATATAAACTTTTTAAAATGCAGACTGCAGATACTTAGCAACACTAGGCTTAGGAATTTACTCTCTATATAAGGCAGTCCTTTGTAGCACCATTTTTAATAGCAAGATAGTGGAATAAAAAGCTTTATGTCCAACAACCTGGCTGGATCCCCAGAGAATTTTGCTAAGTGAATAGAGCCAATTCCAAAAGGTCACATACTATCTCATTCCATTTATATAACTAACATTCCTGACATGACAAAATTATAGAAATGAAGAAGAGATTAGTGGTTGCCAGGGGTTAAGGGGAGGGGGAAATGTGGGTGGAAGGGGAAATGGTGTGGCTATAAAAGGGTAACACAAGAAAATGTCATGGTGATAGAAAATATTCTGTATCTTGATTATATAAACGTCAATATCCTGGCTGTAATAACTGTACTATAGTTTTACAAGATGTTATCACTGGAGGAACTGGGTAAAGGATATAGGGGATCTCTCTGTACTATTTCTTACAACTGTATGTGAACCTATAATTATCTCAAAATAAAAGTGTAATTAGAAAAAAGCTTGCCGTCCATTGACAGGAAACTGGCTACATAAACTATGGGACATCGATTCAATGCAGACATTAAACTAAAAGGCAGTAGACCTGTATGTGTTGATATGGAAAATTTTTTAATTTAATTTTATTTTTTTATTGATTTCAGAGAGGAGGGGAGAGGGACAGAGAGATAGAAACATCAATGATGAGAGAGAATCATTGATCGGCTGCCTCCTACATGCCCCCTACTGGAGGTTGAGCCAGCAACCCAGGCATGTGCCCTTAACGGGAATTGAACCCGGGACCCTTCAGTCCACAGGCTGACGTTCTATCCACTGAGCCAAACTGGCTAGGGCAGATATGTAAAAATTTGATACATTGAGGTTAGGTGGGAAGAAGGTATAGAACAGTGATTATATATTTGATCTGTTCTATCAACAACAAAAATAATTTGCAAATATACTAATTTACTGGGTATCTTTTCAAGAAAAAACAAAACACGATAATGGTGGTAACCTTAGATCAGGAAATAGTGAGGATTGGGGTATACTCATTTTACTCCTTCTTATACTATCCCCCAATTTTTTTGACCATATGCATATATTTTATTATATAAATTTTTTAAAAATTTAGTAGTAGTTGCCTGGGACACAGGCTAATGGGCCATTTTATTACCATAGAATTGTACATCTGGAACCCACAGAACTCCATGAACTAATGTCTTCCCAATAAATTCAACACAAATTAAATTAAAAAAAATGAAATAGGGGATATTACTACAGATTTTGAAGACATAAAGAAAAATAAAGGACTATTACAAAGAACTCTATACTAATAAATTCAACAACTTTGATGAAACAAACCAATGGGCCATTTTATGTTTTTAATTTTTGTATAAAAAGATTTACAAGATGGTTTAGGCTGACTTGCCTCTTTGAAGATAAAAATAAAAAATTTAATTTTTCCAAATCAAGGGATTTCTTATGTACCCTTGAGGCTTTTCTTTTCTCCTTTACTATTTCTGTAGATCTTTACAATGGTGTAAATGAGTTACAGTTTCAAACTTCACCTATCTTTGCTGCATTACATGACACTTATTGAGCATTATCCATGTAGCAGACACTGTGCTAACCCCATGGATACAAGCTGGAAAATGGTCTTAAGCCTCTCTCTAGTAGGTGAACCAAAATACAAAGATTAGAATATGATATAGTAATCACAGGGTATTAAAGGAACACTGAGGTGAAAGATGTAATCCTGCTCACGGGGTGGGTTGTTGGGGAAAAAACAAAGCCCGAATAGGTTTCCTGCAAAAGAGGTCTGAACAAGGTCTTAAAGACTCACTGGGAAACAGCTGGAAAATACTGGCGGACTTTATCTTTAACTATGTTAAAACAAAGGGTCATCAATTGGAAATTTTAAACAATGTGTTCAATATATTCTCTTTTTATGATTTTAAATGGTAAAGTACAAGTGCTCACCAGATAGCTGTCAGATTTAGTTGTCTTTTTCCAGGTACTGCAGTTGTACAAGCATGAGAAAATAACCTAGGCTTCTCTCAGCTTACAAGTTTTTTCTGTGTATTCCTGATCCCCTAGAATTGAACACTCTTGTTTCCATCTGCTTCTCAGGATCCCATGGGTTCACCTGTCATCTCCATCTCCAGTCCTCATCAGCTCACCATCCCAAGTACCACCCCCTTCCAAGAATGGGATAACTGTCCAGCCAAGATGGAAATAAAGGCATAGAAGAAATACTCACAAGTGTAAATATAATTCTGGGGATGGTTTCTTACAAAACTAGCATTGCTTCCATCTGCCATAAAGGATCCTAAAAATACTCCCCGAAGCATCCTAAGACACTAGTATGCATAGCAAAACAATGAGAAGGAAAAGAAAATGACACAGGGTATAAGAGGACAGCTACCGTGTAGGGGGACGGGGTAATTACACGGAGGAAGGTAATTATATTTTACAAAAAACAGTATAGTTGGCATTTTTACTCCTTCTTACTAGATATAATGCTAGTCACATCAATTATTCTTCTACAAACTTAGCGTGTAAACACCTTTCATGTCTAAATGGCAACTGCCCAAAGGAAGACCTAAATTCCAATACTCTGAATTATATGAAACTCCATAAAGGCAGGAATCATGTCTGTTTCATTCACTGTTACCACTCTACCACCTGGCATAGCACCTTGAACATTGTAGGCTCTCAAATATTGTAAATAAATAAGCATATGATTATCCAACTAAATCATTTAAGTAACAGCCTGGAATTAACATGCATTTGTTCAATAAGAAAAGTTCATTTTAACTTTTCTTGACTTTAGTGTATTATAAACAGTGGTCTCTCCAGTTCCTCATGTTCAAGTTTTACTGATAAGTTCTTTATAAAAGAGTAGCCACTGTGTGAAATCATAACATTTGGCTTAAAAAATGCTTCAAGATAAAAATAAAGCTAATCCAGGGCACCATGACACAAGTGGCTCCAGATAACTTTCCATGGCATTCCTGCACTATCTTGTCCTTTGATAGTTCAGAGGCAACCTTAGTTCACTTATGTCTAATTCCTTAGATCCTCCCCAGAGCCTAATACACAAAAGCATTCAACAAATTTACTGGGGCGGGGGGAGGAATCCACTTCCAATCTCAAACTGATAAAATCAATGCAGGTAACCACTCAGAATTAAAATTACACATAAAATACAAGAATCAGAACCTATGGGGGGAAAATGGAAATAACCAAGAAAAATATTTTAAGTTTCATGTCATTAAAAAAATATGTAATTAACGTCACCATATACCAGAGCGATAAAGAGCTAACACTTAGAAAAGAAAAACATTTAAAACTAAAACACAACATCTATCCCCCCGCTGCCCCCCCCCCCCCCCCACCAAAAAAGGATCAGGACAATTTTCAAAGTGGGAAACCTGCAATTCTCTTAACATTCCAGAGAACCATTCCCATGGTTGAGACTTTTCTGTGGTACGACCACTTACAGGACTAGGGTGTATATATTGTGTCTGAATTAATAAGTAGCATTTAGAAACCTCAATAATTAAAAAGGGTACAACTGCAACAATTTAAGTCAAAATTAGGTTTTCTAATTCTCCTTAATCTGATTTTAAAAGTCAAGATATAAATTCATTATCATTTCTGGATCTCCCAACCCAACAGTCAGCATCCTTTTTATTAGAGTCAGCTGTTTTGCTTCTTTCTAATTTTCTATACCGCATGAATGGCTCCTCTATTCATGATGAAACTGATGCAAATTAGAGATCATTTTGGACCTGGTCTCTCTTCTGGTTATCAAAGAGGCAAAGCTGACCATTAAACTGAGATGTGACATAAAGAGTAAAGTTGTTGCTTAAGAACAACAAAACACTTTGCATTGTGCCAGAAAAGTGTCTCTTTTCCCACCCATATCTATTAAGTATATTAGATCTACTTTCTGCCCTTGATATTTGCTGGAAACAGTAGGTAACTCCTTCTACCTTAAGGCTTTAAGGCTTTTTGTACAGCCCCAAATGTTGGGGTGGAAGGGTGGGGTAGAGAATAACAAGTCATCACTTTCTTAGTGCTCACTATATGCCAATCACTGCTCCAATACACGTAACAGTAGCAACTCGTTTAATCTTCACAAGCATCCCAGAAGGCTCATCCTATTATTATTCACTTTACAGATGGGAAAACTGGGAAACAGAAAATTAAGTAACTTGTCCGAAGTCTCACAGCAAGCTAGTGGAAAGGCTGGGGAATTATTTATGGACAAATGTGACAGGACACACAGCTGCATACAGCAACTACAGACCAAGGAAGGCTGCTCTGCCCCCTAAAATGATGTCTGCTGGCTTTTTTAAGTATAAGACGAAACCCCTGTTCCACCTGGCAACAACATCAGAATGTCTCTTCACACCTTCTCTCTCCCAACCTACACGCCCCCACTCCACCCCACACCCCTCACTGAAGCTGCAGGTTCTTCTGACATCCGGGGAAGCCGAGAAGTTCATTAACTTTGAGCCAATAGGCAAACTCCACACTCACTGGCAGGAGGCACCAAGCACCCAGGGGACAGGGCCGGGCACCCAGGTTACCTTGTACCGAAGGGCTTGGTGAATATCAGCAGCCAGCTGTCCCCGCCACCACTGCCCCTCCAGCTCCATGGGATCGGGCGGCGCGCCGGGGCCGGACGAGGCCACTTCAGTCTGCAAGACACAGCCCAGACGCGGTCACGGCCAGCTCCCTCCGGACGCCCCCCGCCCCTCCCGAGGGGTGTGACCTCCGGCCACCCGCAGCGGCTGTTCACCTTCACCGGACTCGCCCTCACACCGGCAGGTTCAACCCATCCCCGCCGCCGCTCGGAGGGCCGAGCTCCCTGGCCAGGAGGCACCGGCTGATTCCGGGGAAATGGGGCTAATGGGGACCCCGCGTTCCCACCGCGCAGACCCGGGTGCAAGCTGGAGGAGGACCGGCTTCGGGCCCCCCGTGTCCGGGGTTCGAGTTCTCCCTGAGGAGCCGAGCGACTTGACACCCGTCACAGCCCACGGAGGTGAAAACCTCCCGCGGAGAAACCCGGAGGCGAATGCCCGCCCAGCGCCGAGTCCCCGCGGCAGACGGCCGGGCGCTCGCTCCTCCCCGGAGCCTCCCCGCGGCCCGGCCCGGCCCGGCCCGCACCAGGCCGCCTCCTCCCCGTCCTGAGGGGCGCACGGTGTCGCGCGGCCCCCGAACGGCGAACAAAAGGCCGGGCCGGGCGGGTCTCGTGTCCGGCGCCCAGCCCGGGCCTGCCGGTCCCGCGGCGGCCTCCCTTACCCGGAACCGAGGCCCTCACAGCCCCAGCCCCGCCGGCAGGCGGGGGACGCCGGCCCCGCTCATGCTGCAGACAGTCGGCCGCCCAGCGCCGGCCTCAACTCGGACCCAGCGCCCGGGCGCTCGCGCCGCCCATTGTTAAAGGACCGGCAGGCGGCTCCGCGTACAAAGCCAGCGCGGGGGCACATGCGGCCGCCGCTGCCAATCTCGTCTCGCGATACAGCGGGGTCACCCCGAGCCGTCCAATCGGCGGCCGGCCGGGCCCAGGTGCCGCGCCGGGTGACGGCTCGCCCGCCGGCGTCGCGCCCCGCAGCATCCCTGGCCGGCCCGGCTCGGCCCCGCGCCCCGCACGGCCCAGGCCCCAAACCTCCGCTCGGAAGCCCGCCCGAGCGGTGGGCAGAGGGCGGAGGAGAGCACCGGGGAAAGGGCAGCGTCGATCCTCGGTCCGGGGGCCGCACGGTCATGCCACTCACCTGCAGAGAACCCTCCATGGCTCCCCACCCTGGCAGAGTGATGGCCGAGCCTCAGCGTGGCGTTTAAAACCGCTCACAGGCCCCCTGGTCGGGGTGGCTCCGTGGTGGGAGCGTGGCCCCGAGCTCCGAAGGGTCTCGGGTTGGTGTTCCTGGTCAAGGCCATGTATCTGGGTTCCAAGTTCAACCCCCCCCCCCCCCCCCCCCCCCGGTCGGGGCGCCTGCAGTGGGCACCCAATTGATGTCTCTCTCTCAGATGTTACTCTCGGTCTCTCACCTCCTCACCCACCTTTCCACTCTTTCCAAAATCAATGGAGAGACTATCCTCGGGTGAGGATTAGCCAAAAAACCACCACCAACAAACCCTTGCATCATGGATTCAGAAGGCCTCTTCTCACAGCAGTCCCTTACATCCTATGGCTGCTTAGTGGAATTATCCGTTCCTCCATATGTGCTCTGGTCATTTCGAAAGTCCCTCAAGCGTTTTCTCTTGTCAAACTCTGCTTTTAAATTCCATCTTAAAACCTACTCCTTCTAGAAACCTGAATAATCTCTTCCCCTTCCTTATTTCCTTTGCTTTAGAGACTCCTAAAAGCTTTGAAAGAAGATTACCTTTAGTAACCTAGTTGGTCAATCCCATAGTGGATGTCATTAACCACCTGTGGGCCTCTATCAGGAAACTACCCAAGTGTGGAAACACTCCAACGTCAATTAAGGAAATGCGGCCCGGCTGGCATGGCTCGGTGGTTGAGCGTGGAGTTATGAACCAGGAAGTCACCGTTAGATTCCCCGTCAGGGCACATGCCCAGGTTGCCGGCTTGGTCCCCAGTGTGGGGCATGCAGGAGGCAGCTGATCAATGATTCTCTCTCATTGTTGATGTTTCTATCTCTCCCTCTCTCTACCTCTCTGAAATCAAAAAAATATATATATATATTTTGTTTTTAAAAAAAATAAGGCAATGTGGGTCCTAAAACGTGATGAGCAGACATCTAATCAACTGTATTTTAACCGGCTTGGTGAAATATCACAACAGAAGTGGATAGTCAACCCCGGACAGTGATCCTCATCTTTATGAAAATGTAGTCAATCTCTTTTAATATTAAAAAAAAATAAACCATAGAACCCTACCCCTTTTAGTTAGAATCTTTTGTTCCAAAAGTCACACGATAAAGAACTACCATAAAGTGATGAATGTATGTTACGTGAACTTGACAATGACATCATACACTTGAAGGACAGCAGCAGATATGTGAGACCATGCTTACGTGCAGAAGAGCAGGGCTGCAGGAACCAATGGCAAGACAAGGGAAACTCAGAAGCAGAAGTTGGCGGAGCCCAGCCTAGCCCAGCATTGTCTAGGGAAAGGCTGCCCTGGCCTATCTCAGTTGCAGGATTTCCCTAGAGAGGAGATGGACACAGGCTGAAAGCTCCATGCTATTTATAATGGCATTTAAAGAGTACCCATCTCCTCAGGTTTCAATTCATGTGCACTATGCAACTTTATAACAATAATTTGGCTTCCCAATAACTTAAATGTCCAGGGTTTAAGAACCCTTTCAGGAAAATGGGTCACAGACTAATCATTGTGTCAATAGATAGGTTGTTTTTCATGGTTTCTATTTTGAAGATGTTATTCACTGGGAGATATTTGTTCAGAAATTTTCCTGTTTTTTGGATTTGCTTCAGATATTGCTCTGATCCTTATTTATTTTTAATATATTATTATTGATTTCAGAGAGGAAGGGAGAGGGAGAGAGAGAAACATCAATGATGGAGAGAGGCTCATTGATCAGCTGGCTCCTGCACGCCCAGGGATCAAGCCCAAAACTTGGGCATATGCCCTGACCGGGAATCAAACCATGACTCCCTGGTTCATAGGTCAATGCTCAACCACTGAGCCACTGCAGCTGGGCTGACTCTTATTTTATAAGAAACCTGAAACCTATTCTGTCTGGATTCCTCTATGTTCTTGGTGACTGGTTTTACAATATGTATTTTGGTGTGGGTCATTTTTCATTCATAATTCTAGGTACTCACTGGGGCCTTTTATTCTGAGACTTACATATTCTGTTCGGGAGATTATCTGGAATTTCATAATTTTCTCTCTCTCATTTTCATATTTCACACTCTCTGGAACTCATATGATTCATATCTTGGATGTCCTAAGCTGATCTAAGTTTCTTCTTTTTGTTTGCCTATTATTCCTTTCTTTGTCCTTTGTTCTCTTTTGGGGGAGATTTCCACAACTTTCAATACAAACACATTTTCTGGATTTTTAAAAATTGGATTAAAGTTTCTACTATTTTCCAACAGTTCTTTTATGGTCTCAGATTTTTTTTTATATAGCATTCTGTTCTAGTTACAGATATAATATTTCTGTTATTGTAAGGATATTAAAGTTTTCTTTTAAGTCAATTTTTCTTCTCTCTGCATTGTCTGTTTCATCATGGGTTTTTTTGTTATAATGTTTGATTCCTATATTAGAGGATTTCCTCAGATATGTGGTGATCCTTGGCTGTCAGTTCAAATTTACAAGTGGGGCATTAAAAAGATGATTGTAATCTCTGAGTACACGAATAGGGCTTATTGAATGACAGGATTCACTGTAAGAATCAAGGGATTCTCAGGAATCCCTAGGTTGGGAGCCCCCACCCCAAATCTTTTCTCTTTGATAGGTCATTTCCTCCAAGCAGAACCCTCTAATTTTCTGCCAAGGGAATAGGTAGGTGGTATAAGGTAATGTCCAGAGCCTACATGGAGAAGCCCCCATCATGAAGCTATCTATCTAGGGGTCCACCAAGAGTCACCTTATTAGCATAAACTCAGGTGTTGCTTGAAGAGACTTATTATGAATATCAGTAAATAACACCTCTCAAACCTATCACTCAGAACATTCCAAAGATTTTTAGAACCCTGATTCAGGAAGTGGGGACAATTCTCATGTCAGGAACTGGGGACAAAGATCAAATATATATTTATTATATCACAATATCACACCTCCCTAATGTCAGTGGCCCTCATTCAATAAGTTGAAGGCCTGAATGCAACAAAAAGGCTGATCCTTCTGTGAGTGAGAGGGAACTCCTCCTGCCTGATTGCTTTGAGATGGAACATAGGTCTTTTTGGATCTTTAGACTCAAACTAATATAATAGCACTTTGTGGATTTTAAAACTGCCAGCTTTCAGACTAGAAATTATACCATTGGCTGAGTCTCCAGGTTGTCAACTAAAGATCTTGGGACTTCTTAGCTTCCATAATCTCGTAGCCAGTTCTTTATAATAAAAATCTCTTTATACATATACAGTCACGTGCTGCATAATGGCATTTCAGTCAATGATGGACCACATATATTACAGTGGTCCCATAAGATTATAATGGAGCTGAAAAATTCCTATCATCTAGTGATGTCATAGCTGTCATAACTTCCTAGAGCAACTCATTATTCACATGTTTGAGTAAACAAACCTACTGCACTGTCAGTTGTATAAAAGTATAGCACAGACAATTATATACAGTACATAATACATGATATGATAATACACAACTACATTCTGGAGTGTCTGGTACATAAAAATGCTCTACAATTATTTTTGGAATGATTTAAAGAACTTTAAAATTATATGTTACATTTAAAATTTATTTTTTAAATGAAAAATGGTTCATTGCAATTACACAATTTTCAGGAAAAAATTGTTAAGAAACGTGCAGTACACAGGTTAAAAATGCATATAACACAGAAAAAGGCTTCTGTGCTTGTCTATGAACACTTTCTACCTTACTCTTAAGTGGCCTATCAATTCTAAAACCATAAACAACTAATAAAATAGCTATATAAACATTCTAAGTGCCACGGAAATGAACTGCATGAATGCAGCATTTCTTTGGGAACCTCGTCTTTCCATAGATACCATCTTGTGCTACCCAATCAAAGTGAGAGACTTGTTAATAACAAAACTTCATATACAATTTAAACACAACTGTCCAAATAAAAACAAAAATTTTAATCAGTTTTCTTGTGCATAGTTAGGTTTTAACATTGGAGAATAAGGCATTCTTTCACCCATACCCCTACTTTTTTTTTTTTATCAATCTCAAGTTTGGTCTAAGACTAATATCTCTGCCAATAAACAAGGTCTTTTCTAGCACCAGCCTATGCAGGTGTATTATGAAGAGGATATAAATTGAAGGATCCCTGAGGATGAGTTTGGGGGTCCCTGCTCTCTGCTTGTGGGAGTGTCCCAAGAAGCTTCGGTGCTCCTGCAATTCAAGAGGTGAATTTTCTTTCTCTTACCCTACCCTCATGTAAAACTATTCTCCTCAAACTTTGAAAATCTGTATCCTTTGATATTTTTAAACAAGTTGTTATAGAACATTTAAGTAATCTGTATAAATACCCTTTCTCAATGAAACACAGAACAATAAAAAACTACCAGAAAGTACAGTGCTTCCTACCACTCTTTCTCCGGGGCCGCCTAGGATCTCCCTGGGCTCCTTGGGGCCACCCCTGGAAAAAGAAAGCGGCAGGAAAAGTGCCAGATGCATAATGGGGAGCTGTTCACTGAGGAAAAAGCAGCCCTGAAATTTGGTACAACCACTTTCTCCCTTTTTCACAGAATCAGGAAAGCACATTAGTTTCCTGGGAATCCCTTACACATATACGG